CCCAACCAGGTCTCCTACACCCTTCTCACCACCGATTTGGATCACTTGTTGTTCCCTTGTCCCTGGGTTTGTTAACACCACTTTCTCCTATTTCTTCAAGTATTTTAAAAAACCAAACTTAAATCACAAGTCTGTGTACCCTGACCCAGACCAATATTCCATACTCCCTTACCAGAGCACTTAGCACATCTTTTACAATTGTGTATTTATTTATCTGAATCTCCCATTATAACTCCAATTAATCAGAACTACTTCTGTGTTGATATCTCACAATTATTTTATAAATGATGTATATAGTTTATTTCATTCAATGAGATTTTATTACATATAGTTCTCACAATAGGTACATCTCACCAGTTTGGAGTAAAAAAAAATCTTGGGGAAAGACATCTTACCACCTACTCAAGAATTTTCACTATTTCTCATTGTCCAGGAAGAAACATGAAGTGCTAATAGTTTACAATTTGGAAAAATAGCACTGGTTTTTTTTAAATCACAAAATTCAGACATGGTAGGTGGAGAATTCAGTAAAATGTGTATAAAGTAAAAACGAACGCCTTCATATTTCTCCTTTTCCTGTTCATTCTAATACAGAGGTGATTCAAAAATCTCACTGCCATCAAGTCAATTCTGACTATGGTGACCGGAAAAGACAGAGTAGAATGGGTTTCCAGGAATAAAAAGGTCTTTCTCCTATAGAGCAGTTATGGATTTGAACTGTTGATCTTGTTGTTAGCACCCAATATGTAATCCACCATGCCAGCTGGGCTCCAAATACAGAGACAACCCTTGTCAATCGTGTGTTTACAAATCTATGTGGTATTTGGAAAGCAAGGACCAGAGTAATACAATTGGCTCAGCAGAAAGCTACAACATGAGCCTCGAATACTGGCTGAAACCTCTTCCTGTTGCTTGTCTTTCTTCTCTTTATGATCAACTTTATTTTTCTCTCACTGAAGAGACAGAACTTGGCCATGAAAAAGTTCCATATTTGAAAGTCCTCATAGTTCAAGAACACAAGACTGTGCTAGAGAACTGGTGTTCATTCCCAAATCCCGGGAAGAGGCTTCAGCTGGCCGAGGGGGAGTCTTAAGCTTATCGCTGTGCTTGTGGGGCTAGTAGGTAGGCATGTAAGGTTGGGGTAAGGGGTTCAACTTTTGGAGATCCTGAAAGATGGGGAAATCTTGTCAAAAATAATTTAAATCCACTATATCTTGATCCTTATTGTATGGTGGCCTGCTCTTTTCAAAGGCTATAGAACAGTCTGTTATGTTTAATAAGCACATTTTTGACAGTCATTTAGATAGTACCCAGTTTTTCATTGTTATAAACAATGCTGGAATGAATATTGTGTTTTTCTGCAACTACTTAAGAATATATATCATGGAACTTTGGATTTGTTGAATATTTCACTTATGAGGGACTTGACAGTTTGTGGAAAAAATGGAATTACAAGATAATGGAATTTTCCCAGGAACTGTATCTAAAGACCCTTCTTATATAACCACATGCAAAAACCCTCACTGCCATCATGTTGATTCCAAAGCATCACAAACCTATAGGAAGGGTAGGACTGCCCTGTGCGTTTCTGAGGCTGTCAATCTTTACTGGAATCTAGTCTTGTCTGTCTCCCGGAGAGGCTGGTGAGTTCAAACTGCTGCCTTTATACCACCAGAGCCAGTCCCCATCCCCGCTAAAAAAATGACATTTCCACATATACTGGGTATGACCATTCTTCTTAAAGTTTTACCAATAAATTTTGTGAAAAAAGGTGTGTGTGTGTTTTAACAATACAACGATGCTGGAGAGTCTGCTTTGTGGAAAGCCTAGTCCTAGGAATACACTCAACCTACTGCCAGCAGAGCTGCTGGTGGTTTTGAACTGCTGACCATGAGGATCTCAACCCAACGCACAACCACTACACCACCAAGGCCCTGCTAGCAGTAAACAAAACAAAGAAACCCCCTGCCCTCAAAGATCGCAAATAGCCCAAGCAAATATTGGTGAATGCTTCAGAGGAAAATGAACAATGGTCGGGCGGGTCTGGAGTTGAGTGTATTTTAACTGTGGTGACCAATGAGGAATCTTACAGCGGCATTTCAGCTAAGAACTGGACAGGAATGAAACTGTGCAGCAATGTGGGGCGGGGGAAGGAAGCACCCGGGCCCTAGGAGGGGCCAGGACGTGGCTGACGGGCCGCAGGTTTCAGGTCAAGAACTAGGCGAGGGTGGCTGAGACAGTAAGCAAAACGATAACAAATCATACCTAAAGGCAGGGTCTAGGGAATGCCTTTACCATGAGAGCAAGCAGCATGCGTGTTTGGTAAGAATAACGGCAGAAACACAGTAACGGTCATCTTGCAAATCCGTCTCCACGTTTCCCAAGAAAACTGAGCTCTCCGTGGGTGCGTAATCTCTGGAGACGGCTGTAGTGTCAGAATGAAAAGCATGTGCTCGTTTCTAACTCCGATCGTCTACGCTCTAAATCACGTGTCATCCACGCCGGGGATAGCTGTCCTGACAACTGTTTGGACGCAGCTACCAGGTCAGCCTACCTGCGCCAGCCTGGCACTGTCCGGAAGGAGGTGCGCGTGCGCGGAGGTGCCGCGGGCCCCGCCCAGCCTGCCAGCTCAGGAAGCCGCGGCGGGTGCCTGTTAACATTACTGGGGGAGTGTCGCAAAAGGTCGCGCGGTGGAACTTCCTTACGGTCTTGAGACCCGGCGTTTTACGGCGCTAGTCACTTCCGAGCTGGGCGATGTCGGCGGCGGACCTGGCCCAGTCGCCCGGCCCTCCCGGCAACTTTGCGAAGCGGCTCCTGGTCACCGGGGGTGCAGGTTTCATGTAGGTAACGGCGCCACCAGCCGAGCAATGCTTCCCAGGAACCTCCAGCCTTTGCCTGCGGTTCTGTTTGCCCGTGGCAACCTTTGGGAGTAGCGTTGGGAGGCTGATTTGGGGAGAGCCCTAAGCTACGACCAGAATCCTTTTCCCTGCTCTCCTCGCCGCTAGCCTGGAATACGTGGTTCCTTTGCCACTGCTCCTTGTTTAGAACTCCTCTCTCCCAAAGATTGATTCTATCCGTCCTCCTCAGCCCAGGAAATTTCCCAGCTTGTCATTTGTCTAAATGCGCACTCGTTACTTTAAGCGTCCCACCTACAGCCACTCAGACTGAGTAACACGCCCTTTGTGCATAACGAGGTGTCCCCTTCCCAACGATTTTCGGATTATGGGCATTTATTTTTTCAGCAGTGAAAACAAAAACAAAGGTGCCTAAAACTGTAACTTGATGCCCCTTAACACCCACATTCCATTAGCATGTGCTCTTTTATTCCCCAACTGCACACACCCCCGATTTATTATTAATTGGTAATTAATAGAGTATTGTTCCATAGTTCAATCACGTCAAGCAGTATTGTAAAATTGATACCACAATCAGTTTCCAAACATTTTTTTTTCTGGACTCCTTGACATCTCTTCCTTTTAACACCCCCCACCCCCGCCCTCTGCCGCAAACCCTTATTCTACATGCTATCCAATTGCATCTTTAAGGCAACCACTTCCCTCCACTTTGTCCTTGTGCCCTAGTCCACGTGACCCGCCCTTGCCTAGAGTAAAGTCTTCACTTCACCCAGAAGAACGTGTGTCGGGTTTGACTCAGATGGTCCTTGTGAAATTTCAAATCCTTACCACACCTTGAAGACCGTCCTGGTGCCTGCACCACATCTCCAACGTTCTGTTAAACCATTTGCCTCCTGCTTTCCTGTACCTGCCGCAAGTACCCTCTGGCCATCCTGAAACACTGTCGTTTTGTTCTTTCTGCATTGATGCCTTGTTTACTTATTTGCTTAGATTGCCCATAACTCATTTCAGATAGGCTTTACCCGGCCATCCCAGCCAAAGCACCCATCCTCCCTACCAATCCATTTTACTGTTTTGTAACAGACCATGACCTGAAATTTTACTCTTATTTGTTGACTTGTTTATTCCCTGGGTTCCTACCTATGCCCAGCCCATTTTATAAGGGTCTTCCAAAATTGTGGAATGGGTTAATGCATGAGTTAACCATTGGAAAGCTCTCCTACCGTCAAAGAACTCTATTTAGAGGAAGCAGAGGGAACCTGAGGATTCTGTTATATTACCTATTACAAAAACAGCCCTGCCACTGAGTCAAGCCCTGGTGGATTAGTGGATTGCATGTGCTGCTACTAACAAAAAGGTCAGCAGTTCAAATCCACTTACTGCTCTGTGTGAGAGATATGACCTTTGTAAGTCTATAAAAGTCCATCATAAAGATTTACAGCCTCAGAAATTCAGAGAGCCTGTTCTACCCAGTCCTGCTGAGTACTAACTCTTTGAGTTCATAATTTGGTCCCTTATTCCTGGGAGCCTAATGTTTCAGGTACATGTTATAAAGTCGGGTGGATTGTGTCACAGAGCGATGCCTCTGTTTCACTGTAGGGTCACTGAAGTCTACACCTCTATGGGCTGTGCAACTCAGGATGCTTTCAGCAGCAATCAGCTCGGGAATCCAGAATTCAATCTAGGACACTCCCCCTCCCCCGAAGCTTCTGGTTTACACTTTGAAATTCTCATGCCAAGAGAGCAATTGCAGTAAGAATTAGTGATGTTCATATTGACTTATACCTCTGTCTCCAAAAAGCCACATGTATTTATTATACTGCTTTACTCCCACACACAAAGCAAGCATCACAACTACCAAGTCAATTCTGACTCACAGTGACCCTATAGGACAGGGTTGAACTGCCTCTGTGTTTCTGACACTAACTCTTTACAGGAGGAGAAAGCCCTGTCTTTCTCCCTAGGAACTGCTGGTCGTTTCGAACTGCTGACCATGCAGTGAGCAGTCCAACATGTAACCACTACACCACCAGGGCCCTACCCAAAGTGGGCATGGGTAGCATCATCTGGTCAAACTCATGTTTTTCTTGTACCCATACCAGTACTGGTGGTGTAGTGGCAGTGAGGGTTTTTGTTTTTTGGAGGACCAGTATGTTACCTTTGCTCCATAATCTAAATGTAGTGTAAGGTTTTATGTGTAAGTATGTACTCACTCTGACTATATTGCTCCAGCTATAGTGGAGAAATTTAAATATCTTTAAATAACTTCCTACTATTTGCTAACAGAAAAACCAAAAATGGGTGAACTTTTCTACCAACAATAACTTTTTCTTCCTTATAGTGCATCACATGTGATTGTTTCTTTAGTAGAAGATTATCCAAACTATATGATCATAAATCTAGACAAGGTAAGTTTTATTTAAAATAAAAAGTACTAGAAGCCAATTACACTGGGATCTTCATTTTTGGGGTTTTTAAAAAGGTTTAATTTTTTTTCAATAGATGTAATTTGCATATCATGCAATTGAATCATTCAGTTGTTCAGTATCAAGGAGAATTGTACAATCACCACACCGATCGTAGAGCATTCTCTGAAGTTTCTGTTATATTTGCAAAAATTAAAGTGCAAGCAATTTAGTTTTGAGACTTGGATGGTTTTAATTGAGTCTCCCTGGAGAGTATGAAAGCCATGATTGGTGATCATTGAAGTGATTTTTGAGTTTCAACAGAAGACGCAAATAATTACCTTAATTTCATAAAATGTAATAGTAAGAAAATTACAGCTGAAGAATAATCTTTCAACTTCTGCATTTGTGCCTGCCTTACGCTTATGAACAGGATTGTTTCTTTTCCCCCATCAGACACTGATTGACCAATAGCTAACTCAGAACAGGTATGATGAGGTAGGTTATACCTAACACAGGTGTGATTGCTTTAATTCACCAGTCCTGTTTCAGTAAAGAACGAGAAGTTATTTTAGCCACTCGTGGTTGAAGGCATCTCTGAGCAGGGAGATTTTATGAAATGGTGATTTATGCTAAGTATTGTTTTTAATATGAAGAAGTAACAAAATGATCTGTGTTGTCTTTTTTAAGAGATTAGAAACTTACAAAGCACAAAGCAAACAGACTTTAAGAGGACGTGTTCTTATAATGCAATCAGAATACCTATTGTCTGTAAATACTGGGTATTTTATAAGAAAAACTCACATCTATCACTTTGTGTTTTCCCCATTTTTAGCTGGACTACTGTGCAAGTTTGAAGAATCTTGAAACCATTTCTGCCAAACAAAACTATAAATTTATACAGGTAAGAAAGTCTTCTAATCGTCATTGTCTTGTGCCTCTTTAATCACAGAGTTTGTGCCAGATTTCTTCCTAACAAGCTTGTGCAAGATGGGATTGAAAAGGACATTTCTTTTTTTTTTTCATTATGTTTTTTTTTTTTAACATTTTATTAGGGGCTCATACAACTGTTATCCCAATCCATACACACATCAATTGTGTAAAGCGCATTTGTACATC